GAAGATTTAATATTGTTAAAATGGCATCACCCCACAGATTGATCTACAGCTGAGTTCTTTGCAGAAACTGATAAGCTGATTCTGAAATTTACATGGAAATAAAAAGGCTGCCAAACAGCCAAAAACAATCTTAAAAAAGAAGAAACGAAGTTGGAGGACTCACACTTCCTTATTTCAAAACATACTACAAAGCTACAGTATTCAAAACAGTGTAGTACTGCCATAAGGACAGACATACAGACCAATGGAAGAGTCCAGATATAAACCCTCATATTTATGGTCAATGATTTTTGACAAGCCAAGACCATTCAATGGGAAAGAATAGTCCTTCTAACAAATGGTACTGGGAGAATCAGATATCCACATGCAAAAGAGAGAAGGATATCCACATGTGATAGATATCCTACCTCATATCACATATAAAAAATAACTCAAAATGGATCAAAGACTAAGTGTAAGAACTAAGTATAAGAACTAGAACTACGAGCTGTTAGAAGAAAACAGGTGTGAATCTTTGTGGCCTTTAGATGAGTAACGGCTTCTTAAACGTAATACCAAAAGCAGAAGTGACAAAAGAAAAAATATATAAATTGGACTTCATCAAAATGAAAAACTTTTGTGCTTCAAAGGACAGCATCAAAGAAGATGAAAAGACAACCATGAAATAGTAGAAAATACATGCAAATCATATAAGGGACTCGGTCCACGATACATGAAAAGCAACTCAACAAGGAAAAGATAAATAAATCAATTTAAAAATGGGCATAGGATTTGAGGATATTTCTCTAAAGAAGATATATAAACAGCCAATAAGCACATGAAAAGATGTTCGACATCATTAGTCATTAGAAATGCAAATGAAAACCACAGTGAATCATTACTTCACATCCACAAGGATGGCTAAAATAAAAAAAGACAATAACAAGTGTTGGTGATGATGTGGAGAAATCAGAACCCTTATACATGGCCAGTGGGATTGTAAAATGGTGCAGCCATTGTGGGAAACAGTTTGGCAATTCCTCAGAACGTTAAACACACAGCTACCAAATGGTCCAGCAATTCTATTCCTAGGTACACACCCAAGAGAAATAAAAGTATGTATTCACACAAAAATTTGTACATGAATGTTCACAACATTACTTATAATAGCCAACAAGTGGAAACAACCAAATGTGCACTAAACTAATGAATGGATAGATAAAACGTGCTATAACTACATAGTATTATACGATTTAGCAGTAAAAAAAAAAAAAAGCACACTAATACATGCTACATGAACAATCCTTGAAAACATTATGCTAAATGAAAGAAACCAGTCACAAAAAGTCATTATGTTGTAGGACTCCATTTATATGAAATGCTCAGAATAGGCAAATCCATTGAAACAGAAAGTAGATTGGTGGTTTCCAGGGGCTGGGGTCAGGGGGAAACAAGGAGTCACTGTGAATGAGGCTAGGGTTTTTGCGGGGAGGAGATGGAAATTTCCTGAAATTAGATATTGGTGATGGTTGCATAACCTTCTGAATATACTAAAACTCACTGCACTGCAAACTTTAAAAAGATGAGTTTTATGGTATATAATTATATATAAGTAAAGCTGCTTTTTTAAAAAATGTTTTTAAGCATTTAGCCAGGATATAGCCTACTACATAGAATTTTCATACTATAATCTTAACAAGGAATTTTGGACACTAGTAATAGAAGATCCATAAGAAGTAATAATAAATGAAAAAAGTAGAAATTATGTGTTTTAACAGGAAGCTTATGGTGGCAATTTTACTACCACACAAAACACAAATTCTATACC